ACCATGCCATACGACGCAAAGAAAAAAAGCAGCAATCATAGGGGTAATCAAATCACCCCTGGCGTGGAGTACTTTCCAAAAAAGTCATTTCGAAATCGATTTCTGCTTCTGTATTACAAGATACAAGAAATACAAGATACTATTATTATCAGTATTTGTAATTTTATATTGAAATGAACTATGTTATATAACTATGGGCTGTTAGTAAGTAGCACGTTGTTATATTTGGAGTGTATGTTGATATGTGGGCCTGACGTCATATTTAGTAATCAATTCGTGATCACCTGAATATTATCAATGTTACTGCAAACCACACCAATTGTACTGCAAGCTTGACAAATCGTACTTTCCATATATGGATTTAAGCCTGTCGTACAAGGGGTCCCACCAAGTTAGCTAACTGATACGTTTGAAATACGCAACCGAGATTCATGAACACTTTTAACGTTGACCGAACGCAAAGACATGAAATGTTTCCTTTAAAATGGTATCCAGTTCAAAGACCACGAAATTGTTTTCGGTCCTTTTAAAAACAATATTCCCATCGGCATATAAATTTTCTTAAACAAAAGGCTTTTTGAACTTTTTCAACTTGGGCTTCGAATCGTTGTCATTTTGTAACTGCTCCTTCCACGTAAAGGTGTCCTGCTCACTACTTTGATGCTGAGCAGTGGGTACGTTGAAATTACTTGAAAAGCTTAACTCTCTAAAGGTTTTGCCTTCTATAGGTTAACGGCCGTTTTTTAATTGCCTCTGTGGGTAACTTTCGTCCGATTCCTATTCAGTAACGTGACCGCGCGTGACCGAGATATCGCGAGATCTTGCGTCCATTTTGCCTATAGACCCCTGGGTAATGGATCGGTTAGGATCAAAGCAAGAAATTGAAAGATGAGGATGAAAGAATGAGGTGTAATGGCATTCGACACGTGAGATCGACATAGTAGCGTCGAGTTCACCGTTTGTATCCCCGGGAGCTTTTATCTTTAAATAAAATCACTGGAACTTAACCATTAACAATGACGTCGCTGAGCTAGTTATGGGCCCTGCGTCACACCGACACACAACTTTCATGTAATGTACAGCGAAAATAGTCACCCAGTTTGGTCATCTGTAGATCATTCTGGAAATCAAGAAAACATGTTTTACAGTCTTTTATGATGGGAGATACCAACGATTTGGGTCGAAATGGGGTTGAAAGTCACCACAACTGCACGCACGTGTTTTTTCTATCCAACAGGATATACGATGCGCAGTTTTAACATGACTACCCTACTCAATATCATTGTATACTGTGTCAGTCTTTTCAAACCTTCGATGGTAGGTCTCAATCCCTCTCCATGGAACACAGATGGAACCGGGAACTCACTGTGATGAAGTGATGTGGTTTGTTCGTGGTGTTGTCATGGTGGATGATGTGGTGGTGATGATGGGGTGTGGTGAATGATGTGGTGGTGTTGGTTGATGTGGTGTGTTGATGTGGTATGGTGGTTGATGCGGTGTGTTGGTTGATGTGGTGTGTTGGTTGATGTGGTGTGGTGGATCATGTGGTGTGGTGGATCATGTGGTGTGGTGTGTTGGTTGATGTGGTGTGGATGGATCATGTGGTGTGTTGGTTGATGTTGATGTGGTGGTGGTGGTGGATCATGTGGTGTGTGTGGTGATGTTGAGATGTGGTGTGGTGGTGTGTTGGTTGATGTGGTGTGGTGGATGATGTGGCGTGGTGGTTGATCTGGTGTGGTGGTTGATGTGGTGTGGTGGATCATGTGTTGTGGTGGATCATGTGGTGTGGTGGATCATGTGTTGTGGTGGTTGATGTGGTGTAGTGGATCATGTGGTGTGGTGGATCAAGTGGTATGGTGGTTGATGTGGTGTGGTGGATCATGTGGTGTGGTGGATCATGTGGTGTGGGGTGATGTAGTGTCATGATCCAACTGAGTAATATTTGATGTAATGTTTATTAAACAGCCCAGCACCACTTCACAAGACACGACCGGCGTATTTTAAGTCAGGTAGCAATTGAATGTTAATGTCTGTGATTGAAATCGCTTTTCGCTGCAAGACGACTTTTTGTGCCTCCCAGACATGCGCAGTGCAATAACTCATAGCTGTCTCCCGTCGACCAAAATTTGGAATATTGCCCCCAACAAAAATAATTCGTTTCTGCGGGGAAAACAGCAACCTCTGTTCTGATAATCCAGCGTCATGTCTTCCCAACGATCTTAGATCAATTTATCAACGTTTCGCCGCTAGTTATTAGAAAGATACTGCCTTCCTTTGGAAAGATTGTCTCATAATTTAGCGATTTCAAAGTGGGCAGAAATGCCCTTCCGTTTCGTCTCACTCCGCGCCGTCTATGTAACCAACATCTTCGACTGCCTCCACGGATCATTTCGTCATTCGTTTGTCCTTGTCAAAAACCGTTGCCATAGTAACGACCGATTTTACGTAACGTTTCTGCGGGCTGATTTATGGGGCGTTAAGTTGGGTGTTTTATCGCCCCCGCGAAAGAATCCTTACCGACAATTTGAAGAGAAATAACTGGGAGTAACATGATTCTGTACTTTGACCTCTTCCCCATCGTCAGATTAACTCGGTAATTCGGAGACAAATCTTGATATTGCATTGCATGAAATTGCTCAGTCAAGCGTAATGAACGCATTGCATTGTGCGTAGCGCTTGTTCCGCGCTCCGTCCTCTAACAACGTTAACCTCTCCGGTGATGGCGAAACACGAGCGGGATTGTACAAACGGAATAAATCGTCCATTTTGTGGACGTTCCTTGGCATGTTTTTGCTGCCGCGCCCCATCAAACTCGCTTTTATTATGTCAGATTTTTGCCCTGGGATCTCGTTAATCCAGTCAGTCCAGATTCTGACAATTATCCACATAAAGTATTCTTGGTATATTAAATCACAGCACGGCGAAGTGACGATGTATGAGCCTTAGGTTTAGGGTCATGATTTAATATGAGTGAAGTGTAGTATTTTAGATGTTACAATGTTTTGAATAGACTTACAGCAGATGGTAAGTCACCTCCTTGTATTGTACACATACCCTGGGGTTTTTCCTTACGTGGGGAAATATTCACTTATGAAGTTATTTGCAAGTTGAGTGAGTGAGTGATTTGGATTTAAAGCAACATTTAGCTATATAATATATTCCAGCAATATCTGGGCGGGAACACACATAGTACCAATGTGGGAATCGAACCCGGGTCTTAGGTCTGGCGATCTGCAGTATATATTTCAGATAGAGTCATATCTACAACTTTAGTAAAATTGTTTATCTCATAGACATATAACTTTCACATCAATTGTAATTCGTTAATCTGGAAATGTGATGAGGGGGTCGATCCCTTACTCCGTCTGGAATGGGTTAGATATGGCCTATTCTGTGATACGACCATTCTTCAGTCCATTTGGGGTTGCCGTGGTGCCATTCCGCGTGTTCAGTGTCATAGGCAGCATCTACTACGTCACTTGTAGAAATTGTCAATCAGTATCACAGCAGAGACACCAGAAAAGGGCTTCACAAGTTTCTTGATGTTGGGAATCGAACTCAGATCTTTGGCGTTATAGGCAAACGCTTTAACCATTAGGCTTCCCCACCGCCCCTGAAGGCAGTTTGAAGTTGTGGAACATATATACAAAAGAAATTGCGTAGGCGAACGTTAACCAAGTACAAGGGCACATAAATTTCAATTTAGTGAAAGCGATGACATCTTTATGTCCCGAATGTTCCGACTGGTTGCTTCCCTTCAACGTATGGCTTGTTATACGAAAGTCAAAAACAAGCCGGAAACCGACGTCTTGATCTAATAAGTGTTTGGCACGCAACAAGTACATTTCAAGCCTGTGATCGATGTGAAATGTGCAAGCTGAAAACCTGAATTTGGGATGTTTGACAACGGAGGAATGGATTCTGATTGCCACAAGGAACATGTATATGTTCCTGTGAGTGTATGTGTGTATAGGTCCTTGTACATTTAACTTAATGTCATGCAAACAGGTAAAGGCCATATGGAGAGGGATGCATTTCGTTGGTGAACTGGGTAAATATAGCATTGCTTCCCTAAAGGAAACGGATGGTAAAATCTGCGTATCTGCCCAATGTTCAATAAAAGCGATAAAACCAGTTCCGCATACACGAGAGCGAGCAGAGTCGATGATACGATTTCGACTTTATCATGAACGTGTATTTACGAATCACTTGTACATTGCTATGATACCACGTGGTTTCTGAAAGGTATATATTTACAAAATGGACTTCGAAAGCATTCATAATTACGTTAAATATGTGATCCCAATTGGCAGCATGATGTTCACCATATTTGTGTTCCGTATTTGAATAACTTATGAAAGTTGTTATTGTCTACACTTTTCGTTGATTTGTTTCAAATTTGATAACTGTATTGTCAAATATTTTAAAATGTTGTCTGGTGATGATAACGTCGAAAAACAGTTATGTGATTATAACATATACATAAGTTAGTCTGTCTCGACTTAGCTTGCCGACCGCGTCATACCAAAAGAAGTTAAAATATGGTACTTGTTGGTCCCTGCCTGGCGCTCGGCATTGATGGGTACAGCAACGACTGGTCGGCTCGGAGTCAGTATAATGTGTCTGAGTGGGGTATTCATGCTTCACTGCGGCATGGTATCTCAGTGGGCTAGCACTATAAAACCAGCATAAGTCTGGGCTAGTACAAGCAGCCGCACATACACATACACACCCATGCACGTCGTCATATGAGCGAAATATGCTCAAGCACGACGTTAAACCCAATTTCACCTCACCTCACCTCGACTTAGCTTGAAAATAGTCCTGGAGTGCATTACAAACATTGCTCTTCTGGATAGTCTACCATGGCTATTCGCCTAATTTGGACCCCTGTCTGTTACCCTACTCTATATCGCGTTATATCAATCAAATGATTGTACTATATAAATCAGATAATTTGTATTCAATTTGTCAGTCCTTTTCTTTCGTGTATCTTTCAGATATCGTGAAGAACAAGGTTGGAAGCTGTGTCACCATCTACCAGGACCTCATCAAAAGGGATGAAAGCAGTTTGGACAAAGATGGCCAAGTCTACATGCGTACGTATTTCAGCAGATTGTATTGTAGACGGGGAATATATTAGCACTTCAGCCAGATGGTACTGATCGGTGGTCGTGCAGAACATTGGTGCCCAGGACACACAGCATTGAACAGGAGCCGATTCTAGGAGTACTGGATGTCCACAATGTATGACGTTGGTATAATGGTACCCCGACGTTGTAGATGCTCATGCTATCATCCCCTGGTTTGTCTAGTCCAGACAAGATAACAGACAGCTATCAGAAAGCTGGGATGATTTGGAGCGTCATTTCACTGAGGGTGATAGGTTCTCGCTACTAATGTCTGAGAAAAGTGGTGCACGAACTTATACGATCCGAGAACTACATGGCCTGTCGTTGAAGATCTGTTACTGATACAGCTGTGTTGGTAACTGTGTATAATTTAAGTCACTAGTATATCTGTTCTGAAATTTGAAGGCGCCCTTGACATATTACTGAATAACATAGGTCAATGAAAGTGAATATTTTGCGAAGTTTATTTAAATGTGTACGATATTTTAAGATATTTCAATGATCCCTAATTTGTTTGGTTCGGTTTTGTCGGGGTGTGTCTGCCTGTTATGTGAAATCATTCTTACTCTGATCCCAAGCGTTCCAACACCATGTTGTGTTTATAGTTCTTGTAAACTGACATGTGATATATGTCCTGTTCCCTAGACCTGTCCCGATCTGTTGTGGGTTTCGCCATCGCCATGGGAGCTGTCCAGCTCGCCGCTGTCTTCACGCTTATCTGTGGCAACTGGCCCGGTAACTGTAAGACTATTCGGAAGGGCAAGTTGTACCTCAGTGCCTCCCTCATCCTGCTGTTTGCCAGTAAGTACAACTTAGGTGTGTCACGCTATTTGCCAGTAAGCACAACAACGGTGTCTCACGCCAGTAAGTACAACATAATGTGTCACGTTGTTTGCCAGTTAGTACAACTTCGGTGTGTCACGCCAGTAAGTACAACATAATGTGTCACGCTGTTTGCCAGTAAGTACAACATATGTGTCACGTTGTTTGCCAGTAAGGACAACATGTGTCACGCTGTTTGCCAGTAAGTACAACATATGTGTCTCGCCGTTTGCCAGTAAGTACAACATATGTGTCACGTTGTTTGCCAGTTAGTACAACTTCGGCGTGTCACGCCAGTAAGTACAACTTCGGTGTGTCACGCCAGTAAGTACAACCTAGGTTTGTCACGCCTGTAAGTACAACATAGGTTGTAAGGAAACTCTCCAGTGTGTCAAGCCTTGGCACCAGAAGCCCTCTCCGCACAACAGTGAAAGGCCAATGCTGCGTTTGTTATCTTCCCGGGAACAGAATGCCAAAGAGTTCTTGCCTCTTGATTAATGCTTCTGTCTCATCAATCATGTGTTATAAACACCACATACACTGTTTACAGATATTTTAAATCAAAACATCTAGCCTAAATAGATATTTAAGAGACAACACCTGCAAGAATATAATATTTAGCCAAAAAATTTCATTTTGTCGACACTCTGAAGCTTTTTTCATTTCTTCAAGCATTTTCTGGGACAATGTATTTTTTGGGACAACAATTTAGTCTTTTCTCCCACGTGATCATAACCTAATTTCAAAGAGGTCGTGAACGTGCTTCACTCACTCATGCATCGTAAAACTTGTCGCTAGTGACGCGTGGGTTCGATAGCCCACGTGGATACAATGTGTGAAGTCAGTTGCTGGCCTTCCCGGCCAAGATACCGCTAAACGTGGCGAAAACCCGTACTTACTCATTCGAAATGATTGTGTTCTCAGTTGTTCCGTAAACGTGTATTTCATCCTTGTGTGTCGTGTCACTTTGTATTAAGCATTTTAATTCTTCAACCCGTTTGGAATGGTTCCATTCCAATGTACCCTTACAAAATCAATCGTTATTCAATTATACGAAAATCCATCTTTTTAAATGACACATTGCTTTCATCCCGAACGGCGTCACATCACGTTGTAAAGTGCGCCATTAGCGCGTGAGCAGGGGGCACAACCTCGGATAAGTGCGATGAATGGAGCTACTTTTTTAGCTTATAGATATTCATCTATGTCAAGACTTCATTTGAAGTGTGGCCACTGTCCTTTTGCATTTGCTCAAACCAAATGTACTTTAAAATTCTAACCTTAAGAGGTTACAGCAAGATGGCAATATATGTCTTAGTCTGAATAACATCTGTGCTGTCATGGAAACGGGTTATGAAATAGTGAACGATGCTTAATGACACGAGGATATCTGTTATCAGTTTAAAGGCACAGTACAAAGCCATGTTGAAATGGAACCATGAAAATATTTATTGTCCGTCGGGGGATATTCTCACGCAAATATTCTTCATTTTGAATGTAAGTGAATACATTTTGTAAGACCCTTGTAATATGACGGGTTGGCATTTTCCTGATATTCTCAAAAAGTAATGTTACATTGTAAGATTACACACGTAGATTTCATATGTCCGTATTACTACTTTTCTTGTAACTTAATTACACTTCAGAAACGGCTTTACCTTTGGGATAAATTGTTGTATTTTCTTACTATCATTAATAATTATGTAACCAGGAATTATATTTGTCGCTAGATTAGCCCACTGGTTCATGTGTTCGTTGTCGCATCGTACTTGGTTCATCTAAATAGTAGGAGAAGGCACTTTACGAGTTTCTGTCTGTTTGTATGTGGTGTTTTCTGTACAAGGCCCGCTACTCTGTGCGCCAGGCCGGAATGTCAGTCAGTCCCCTGTTGATGGACAGTAGCATTACAAGAAAGCGTTATGAAACGTGTGAATCTGTCTTATGTCTTGAGATAAGGGATAAGTGAATGAGTAAGTTGAATTAATGTCGTTTCTAACATGGTCTCAGTTAAATCACGTTATATGTTTCGTGAGAATATAGAACACCGGTGCAAAGAATACCCAGTCTTGCCTATCCTCTGAAAGGGGCGGGTAGCCTAGTGGTTTAAGCGTTCACTCGTCACGCCGAAGACCTGGATTCGATGCCCCACAGGGGTACAATGTGTGAAGCCCATTTCTGGTATACACCGCCGTGATATTGCTGGAATATTGCTAAAAGCGGCGTAAAACCAAACTCACTCACTCACTCACTATCCTCTGAAACACATTAAAGGAGAAAATAGCTGTGAAAATCACCCGAACAAATCACCAGGTGTTCGCGAAAAAGTAAGTATGTCCTGCCCCACCGATAGCACCCGCTGTTTAAAAGAAATTGTCTCAAAATGGAAGTATTTTTACCCTGACTCTGCACATCAATACTTCTGCCAATCAACGGCAGGGATATAATGCTTAATCGACGTGAATCTGAGATGCCCCTCCAACGATCAACGGTTACTGGCACAGCAGCGGACACAACTACAGAATCTGTAAAATGAGCTATTCACGTTTTAAGCAATACAACTAAAACTCTTCTTCTTTTCAGCAATGTGTGGCATCGTGAGTGGTATCAGCTTTATCGCCCTTCGTGACCTTGACCGGAAAGATCGTGGTATGTACCCGTATGGCGTTTCCTCGCAATATGGTTGGTCATTCATGGTCACGTGGATATCCGCCGGCCTCAATATCGTGGACAGCTTCATCCTTCTGTGTTTATTACGGACTGTGTATGATGACGTCAACGAAGGAAAAAAATACTACTACTATAACATGGGAAACTAGTTCCAGGCCAGAATATGCTTGCCATATGTATACATATATACGGTCCGTTAATAGCAATATATACTCTGATGGCCACGTGTATGTTTGACTGTATGCTATCGTTGACATACGACGTGCTGTCTCATTATATACCAGGTTCAGAAACACGAATGGGATATTTGTGCTTGTACAAATTAGTATTTATTATGCCATGACGTTTTAACAGTATTTGTAAGTTCAATAACTATCTGGTAATTTGGTCGTAGTGTGTTCATGAAGACGTCGCGATATCCGCTAGGACATTTTGGCTCAACGCGTAGCGTTTTCCTTCGTGTTTTGACTTAATAAACGGACACTTCGCCATACACACGGCACCACTCTTCCTTTGAATTGAATAGATAAAGAGATATATCTTTCGTTCATTTTGGCGTCCATTCGTCATATGTGAGCGTACATTGATTGTTCATATATCCATCAGTCCAACGGGTTCACCTAAACTGGCACTCTCCTGAAATACGTCAACATATATTATTCTTCGTCTCCTAGTGTGGGTGTTTTAAAGAGTAATACGGTAGCGCGTTTTTTAAGCAAAGCGTAAGTACACTACACCGTAAAATCTCCATTTCATGCATTCCACTATCATACATTATTTTTTCTTTATGACATATTTTCAGATGATTCACGACTCTTCTCATGTATTTAGTTATAGGATATCTTTGCCACAGGCGATCAAGACAGTCGAACTATATATTCGTTTCTTTTTCAGTTCATAGTTAAATGATTGAAGCGTATTCATTTTTCACAGAATGTTGAGGAAATCTTTAGATTTATACTTTAATATTTTTACATAATCGATTTGATCTCTACTTAAGACGGATTTGCTGACGCAGTACGTCATCTACATCGTGCTAAGTTATGTAACCATACATCAAAGAAACTCCCAGAGTTACCGTTATCCTTTGGACAGCTGAAATAATTGCCTTTCGGGTACTGGAAATATATGTTATCAATTTCATATTAGTAAAATGCATAGTGGAAGTAATTTATCTCTCATTTTAATACCTCTCCTTTGTAAATAATGAAATGTATCATGCACAACAGCTTATTGTTTTTAAAAATACATGTTTTTTAAATACCATGTTTTAAACAAACGTGAGAGCAATAGAATATATGCAAAATGCATCATTTCCCTCAGCATCCTATAAAGGTGAACTTCAGAACCTCGACCTAGTTCCATTTGCCATTGTCTGTCGGCAGCTCCAGGAGGATGGAACACGGGCGTAAACTCATGACCCAGATACAAACATAATATTGAGGTCACAGTAAAAAAATGGAAAATATTTCTGGTCATGTGGCGAACTGTCTAGACGCATGTGTGTTTCCATGGAAAATGTTGTCACGTTGAAGGACAAATCAATATCCATATGTACATAGAAATCAGATATTCATAGTTTCACATTTCGCGTCGATGGATTTGTGTTCAATGTGTCGATAGATAGCAACCAAATTGTATCCACGAAAAATCGTTAACGATATCACACGCAATATTTTTTTATGCTAACAGATCAGTGTTAAGCCTTTCGTCAAGACTACTGTTTCCAGATACTGTGTTTGGACTGAGAATCCCAGTTCTTCAAATCATTCCACCATGACCGTTTCGAAGTAGGTTAAATGAAACTTTGTAAATAAACATGTTCAATTGTTGTTTCTTAATATCAACATGTTATGTATCCGGGTTTTGTAGACAGGCGAGTTGTTATAGGAGATGGCCCGTATTCATCGGATATATACATGCTCAATAAGACATCCCACTGAAGTCAGACTTTTCGTACGTGTCGGGTGGTCTCATGTTCATATTGGGTGTTGATGCACTTGATGCCGTTAACCTGTACTAACGTCAAGCGTGTTAGGAAACAATCCCATAAGTTTGATTAGGCATATACCGAATACGTGACGTTTGAGATTGTAATACGACGTCGCTATACGTCTTGTGATGTCATTGGCGTTACTCTCGGTGTAATGTCATTGTCGTTTCACTCGGTGTAATGTCTTTGCCGTTCCACTCGGTGTAATGTCATTGTCGTTACACTCGGTGAAATGTCATTGTCGTTACACTTGCTGTAATGTCATTGTCGTTTAACTCGGTGTAATGTCTTTGCCGTTCCACGCTGTAATGTCATTGCTGTAATGTCGTTGTCGTTACACTCGGCGTAATGTCATTGTCGTTTCACTCGGTGTAATGTCGTTGTCGTTACACTTGCTGTAATGTTGTTGTCGTTTCACTCGGTAATGTAATCGTCTTTGCCGTAATGTCTCGGTGTAATGTAATGTCATTGTCGTTGTCCTGACACTCGGAGTAATGCCATTGTCGTTTCAAAAGTTGTAATGCTATTAAGTGCCGTTGCCACGTACAATGTAATGTCATTGTCGTTACACCCCATGTAATGTTATTGCCGTTAGATACCTTGCAATGCCATTGTCGTTACACGCATTGCCCTGTCAGCATGTCATTTGTTCATTTTAGAACATCTCAGTCGTCTCAATGTCACTGACAAAGTGTAACAAAATTCTATTTTACAAAGAGAGAATAACCTACCTGTGTTATCTTTGTGGATTAGCTTCTCACATACATAAGAACAGATCAGCGCAATAGTAAAATCTGCAGTATGTTGTACCTAACGTCCTGGAATAGACATTAGGTAACAGCGACATTTAATATTTTGAGATGCAGCAATGTTTGAAAATTACCTGTAATTATAATAATTGTCGGGATTTTCGTAATATGGTTATGATCATTTTAATATACTCGAATGTGATATATGTACAAAGGTGTGTTTTATATGAAGTCAAATTTGATCCTCCGCATTAATCATTTGTTGCCATTCATTGCCATTTTAACAATCACATTTTTAATGTTTATGTATGATATATTTGTTATCATGAGTGCATAATAATACCTGTCATTTGCAATACAAAGTATAGTCAATAAAGGTCTTAATTTTTCGTGTTTGTCTGTAGTAGTTTTGGAAAATATTAAAAATTGAAAGGAAGTTATGTCATGAAAGAGTTAGTGCGTTTAGTTTTACGCCGCACTCAGCAAAATTCCAGCTATATCGCGGCGGTCTGTAAATGATCGAGTCTGGACCAGACAATCCAGTGATCAACAGCATGAGTATCGATCTGCACAAGTGGGAACCGATGACATGTGTCAACCAAGTCAGCGAGTCTGACCACCCGATCCCGTTAGTCGCCTCTTACGACAAGCATGGGTTACTGAAGATCAATATTCTAACCCGGAACTTCAAGGGTCTGTCATGAAAGAAGTGAGTGAGTGAGGAAGTTGGGATTAAACCGCTCTCCAGTTATATCGCAACATCTTATGATCAACTTGATGTGATGCAGGTCTTCGATAGTTACGCTTTGATGGCACGCACAGTGACAAACCTATTTAGGCGTATGGAAATTCGACTTGCCATCATATGTTCCTGACGCACCCAAGGAACGCAACTCTATGCTACGTTTGGCAACGCTTAAGACGATTTGGTCACCTGTGTCTTTAAAATTATACACAAACACAGAGCTTCGGGGTGAAGTTGAGTTAAAGGAAGCACACAAGCATTGTGTAGAATATATATAATCCACATACTGTAGACCAGGGGTGGCGGGGTAGCCTAGTGGTTAAGCGTTCGCTCGTCACACCGAAGACATGGGGTCAATTTCCCACATGGGCGAATGTGTGAACCCCATTTCTGGTGTTCCCCGTCGTGATATTGCTGGAATATTGCTAAAAGCGGCGTAAAACTAAAACTCACTCATTGTAAAACCAGTGATTGGTCCTCTTGAAGGCAAGCTGTTGTACAGGCCTACTTCCGTTTGATGGGTCATCCTCCCAATTCGACTTGGTAACATTTCCAAGGCCGTGGTAGATGTGTGTGATCCAAAGGACCGCCTTGTGCGCCATCAGTTTTGTGTCTTTCCCAGTCTTACCAAACAAACGAAACATACATTTACCCAATGTAGACAGTGGTATGGGAAGTGAGTGTGTGCAATGTCTAGAGTCGACCAACCGATGGTCGATATATGAGCAGATACGTGTACAAGGATGGAATGTCACACAGTCACCATTGAAACGTCCATATATCTGCTTTCCCTTTTTATGAACTGTCATATGGTACTGGTCGTTTCAGGATGTGCTGATTAAACGTCTGACAGCAGTCTGTAAGTGGTCGATTCTGGGACAAACAATCCAGTGATTGAAACCATGAACATCTATGTACGTCACCGGGATACAACAAGCTGTATCGCAGGTGTTTGTAGGTTGAAGCCATATTTCCATGATTATATGGGCATGGAAAACTGAACTACAATAAATTCATTCTCAATATGGTACAAAACAACATAAGCATCAATTTCACAGAAGGTCACGTGCCAACATTGCCTCAGTTGGAAGTATTCATAAAAACATGACACGTGTCACGACATAAACTATATAATTCAAAGTTTCCAAAACGGCCACTCAAGGTTCAAATGAGATAGTTGTGGTCGGAGCTCTTTGGTGGTCTTGGCGTTTTTAAAAAATAGTGTTTACAGTGCTTGGTTTCTTTTCTATCATGAAAAGTTCAGCCCAACAAGAAAAGGCTATGCCTCGGGACTTAAAGCACTGCGTTCAATCACCTACATGTAATTCAAATCTGAAATCCAATTTGACTTAAGACTTCTGGTTGGAAAGTTTATATTAGATATCAAAATTATGACTAAATAATTTCGATATATCTTTTGATATTACCAAAATTAATTTCAGAATTTGAACCATTCACATCTGCCCGTATCACCACCAACTTCCTTTGGTCTGCTTCTTCAACCAACCTGATCCAATTTCGTTTTAAGACGTCTTTCAGACGCTTATATAATCACAAAGTTCGACATTCCCACTTTTGTGAAAATCGATGGCGGACATTAGAGCCTAGACTCGCGCCATCTTGGATTGAAGGTGTTTCATTACCCGAAAGCTAGGAGAGGAAGATTTAGTTATCCGAAAGTGTCATTTCATTTTCTCGGGGTGTGACGGATCTTATTTTGCTCATCAATAATAAACCCAGCAATTTTTCGAATGCAGTGTATTCTGACCCATTGCTAAGGTAACGGGATCGGCACAGACAGAATAACAAACGTTAAAATCATAACCAAATTAAGATAACGATGCACAGAAATTGTGAAGTCATCATTTATACAGACCGGATACTTTAGGTTATCGAACTTCTCACCATGTCTATGCAATCAGCTGTACGCGGATAATCAAAGCCGGAATTGTAACCTCTATCTGTGGAAAAGTCCGATTTGATTTGAAGTGTTGCAAACGTTTCGCAAATCGTTATGGGCTTATTAAGGCATCACGTTTTTCTCTGTTGATGTGATTGAAAATATTACACCAAGTTTGTCGTTTTAGGAAATCGTAGTGATATGCAATTGCTAGCTGGCCGTTTTGTTTGTTGTTAGACTTCGTTAAGATTAATGCTGTGGTCGACGTTTACTTGTCTTATCGTTTAATACAGGTTATGTTAACACTCACACGGACATGATAAAAGTAAGCTTTATGTGAGTTATTCACTCTCCGGCTTAACCGAACTAGAGGATGCTAGAACCTGGAGATAAAGTATGCAATAGTAGTTGTAATGCCGGTTTCCTGGGACGATCCGGGTTAAATTGATTCTTAACAAGCCATGATTGTTGAAAGAGGCGACTGATGGGATCGGGTGGCCAGGCTCGCTGCATGTCGTTGTGTCCCAGTTGCGTTGATCGATGCTCATGGCACCAGTCACTGGATGGTTTGATCGAGACCAGTTTTGACTTACGGGGACTTCTGGTGCAGGAGTTGTGTTCCTCGGAACATTTGGTTTCTCTTCTTCAAAGTACCGATTTGAAAGAAAACATGAACAACAAAAAAATAACAAAACAGATGTTATTGAACACAAAAGTCAATTGTATTGCGGAGTGGGCAATATGAATACTTTGTGCGGACGTTTTTCGTACGTCTATATATAAGATCTACGTGGATCAGCGAGACAATCAAAACAGTTGTCTGTCAATGTTATGAAAAGGAAATTGACCCAAACAAATCAATAATCATGAGACATCTCTATTAAAAGCGGATACCATTGTATCATTCCACTAATGACCCGTGAAGATCCGGGTTAGAATTGATCTTCAGTTACCCATGCTTGTCGTAAGAGGCGACTAACGGGATCGGGTGGTCAGGCTCGCTGACTTGGTTGACACATGTCATCGTATCTCAACTGCACAGCTCGATGCTCATGATGTTGATCACTGGATTGTCTGGTCCAGACTCGATTATGTACAGACCGCCGCGATATAGCTGGAATATTGCTGAGTGCGGCGTAAAATTAAACTCACTCATTCCAACAATGTCATCAGTATTTGTTTAGTAATCACTGAGAACAGTGCTGACACCAGGTGTTCGGTGATCATATCCTGGCATGCATTGACACATTTACACAAGAAATACA